GCAGGTTTCCAACCTTGTAAACAGACATTTGCACACTAACTGAAACTAGCAGCACTGAACGAACACTGGGCTGGGAGGTCCGTTCCTTGATCATTAATATGCAAATTGTCACGACCACTGATCAAATAAATCCCGGTGCAGTTACAACCACATAAACTAGCGCAATCGTGTTTTTTTTGCATATGAAACCGGACGAGTTGAACTGACACGTCATGCACGCAGCTGTCCCAGGTCGCACTTTCCTTCCACGAATGGCTTTTTGCAAAAATCACATAAAAAGCGCTAACAAATACAAAACAAAATATCCATATAATCCAGAAACATCAGCTGTGCTGATCTGATCAGCTGTTCTTAGTCCGTCATTACCTGCAAAACCCAGAAGTGACGTCATTTTTCGTGGGACGTGTAGTTTTTTCCCTGCAGGGCCTTTCAGAGGTTTCAGGGTGTTTTAGAAGTCGTGTTTGACTTTGTGCGTTTCTGTGTAGATTGTGTGAGAACACAAACTGCACTGTTGGAAATAGTTTTATGCTGTTTTTTTGCAAATTGTGCGCAGTGATGTTTATTTTCCTTTTCCTGCAGTTTATAAAAATAATTGTATCTTAAAACTGAAACTACGAAGACACTCCAAATACATTTCCTGTGCTCAGAAACTATTTTGTGCAACTTTCTTGCATTTACAGTTTTGAGAGATAAACCTCTGACATTTCTGTAACTACAAATATGTGTAAAAAAAATAAAAACGTGAAATGCTGCAAAAATGTCACTACAGTAAAAATATAAAGATAAGCTCTGTTGAGACAAAGTGATCGTCACTGTCGAGTTAAACGCTGCGACTCGTGTCCCTGTTGTTGATTCAGAGCGAGTGGGAGGCGCTGGAGGTCGTGGAACATAAGTGGGCGCTGGAGAACGTGGAGGAGGAGCTGATGTCCAAAGACCTAAACTTTGGGGGCTTCTTCAGCCAGGACATCAAGTCTGCTGTATTCTAGGACCACGAGGACGCGCTGGGATCCCGGGGATGTTCCTGAACCGCCCTGCTCTCCCCTCAGTCTGTCCTGATTCTCCGGGATCGTTTTCACAGTGCAGGATTTAAACACAGAGAATTATTTTTATGGAGCTGCCTCTGAAATCGTCTCTCTGCTGCCCCGGGCGCTTCGCTCACTCTCAGCTTTTGTACGTTTCCTGGAGTTCCAGCCGGGCTCCGGATCTTCCCTGGGTTGTTGTTAGTTTATATTTGAGAAAAATCTAAAAGAAAATATTTTATTTGTACTTGAGATTTTACTTTGAAATGATGTTTGTGTTGTGTGTGTTTAAGTTACACATTTTTACATCTAAAGTCAGCGATTCAAGTCCAAATCCATTACACAGGAAGTAGTGACTTAGGACACAGGTCGGAGCTTTAAAATCCTCCACGCCGGCAGGCTGAGCACCTGCCGAGATCCGAAACGTTTCTCC